GGGTGTGTGTGTGTGTGTGTGTGTGTGTGTGTGTGTGTGTGCGTGTGTGTGTGTGTGTGCGTGTGTGCATGTGTGTGTGGTCCTAGTATTTCCTACATTATGGGGACCAAATGTCCCGACAAATGTGGTATATAGTAATACCAGTAAATGTTGACGTTGTAGGGATATTTTTTGGTCCCCATGAGGAAACAAGCTTATAAATCATACAGAAATTGTTTTGAAACTCTTAAAATGCAGGAAGTTTTGTGTGAGGGGCAGGTTTAGGGGTAGGGTTAGAGTTAGGGTAAGGGGATAGAAAATAAATTACGTCTATATGTCCCCATAAAACATGGAAACCATGGTGTGTGTGTGACTTTTGTGTTCTGACCAGCTATGCAGCTCATTTTTAAACAAAACAGTATATTTGTAAATTAACATAAACCTTGATTAAGAAGTGCTGTAAAAATTGTTGATTGTTAGTTCATAAATGCTAATTATTGATCTTATTGCAAACAATTCATCCATGCAAATGTTTCTACTTTTTTAAATTAATTAATTATTTTATTTATTTAGTCCTCATAATTTTTTTATCAAACTATTATAACTGGATGTTCCAGTGAAATGACAGACTTCACTCTGGTGATATATGCAGGACTTCTCTGGTCCTCACAAACCTCACTTCTTTCTTACAATCGACTGCAAGCTCACATTCAAATGTGCCTCCATCCAATCAACAACCAATAGATACTGTAGATCCAAGTTTTTGGATTACAATTACAATATTAAAAGAAAATATCTGTAGCAACTTCCGTGAATATTAACAAATTTAAATTTATTGTCTCCATATTAGCCATTTTTTATTACCTATCATAAGCACTACTGTAGTGTGTGCAGCCTGCAACTTTTGGGTTGCCTTCCGTAAGTTGTGGTAAAAACAGAACAGTTGTTGGCTCAGATCTTCAAGTGACTATCCATAAAGCATCATCATTGTGCCCTTGAGCAAAGCACTTTACTCCATTTTGCTCCAGGTGAGATTATCCCTGTAATAGGTGTACTGTAAGTCACTTTAGATAAAAGTGTCAACATGCAATATTCAGCCAAGAGAATGCTATAGAAGCCTAGGGCCATCTCAGGTCCACAAATAAACACATCGAGCTAAAATCAAATGTTCTTTTTGACACCATGGCGTCACAAACAGCCAAATCTAAAAATGTTGTAAATGTCCTCTTAGTCTGGCTACATTCCCAAGTCTTCCTTAGTGAGCACCTTAATTGTGTCACTTTCATAACACATCCACAGGAGGGCAGTGTAGTACTTTGTTGAAACAAACTATTTTTGTGCTCTCTCTCTCTCTCTCTCTCTCTCTCTCTCTCTCTCTCTCTCTCTCGCTCTCACTCATCCCATCTTTCTCCTAATTTCTGAAGGTACCAGATGCTGCTCTCATGCCCTCTGTTCCTCTTGCTCCTGTTACTGTGACGACGCCTGTTCCTACTGTGACCCCTCCTGCTCTTAGTCCAACTCCCACTGCACTGCACACGGGCAAAGGCCAAGTCAGGCTGCATGATTTCAACTTCCTCATGGTTCTGGGCAAAGGGAGTTTTGGCAAGGTGCTTGAAATTACATAAACTTTTTTCATACACATATACACATATAGTGGGATCCAGAAGGCCACAATGAAAAAGTGGGATTCAAAATCAAATTTGAACCTGGAAATAGATAAAGTTTCCGGATTTTGAAAAATGAGAAACAATGAAATGCTGTGATGCAAAATGAACAGTGTATGCTGTCACTAAAGCAAATAAACAGCACATTTTTCAATTCAACATTTCACTGACATTTGGACCCTGCTGCATGTGTAATAGATTGTTATATTTCTCGTCCTGGTTGTCAATGGAACAGAAATCTTTAAAGGAAACTCTCTAGACTCAGACAGCACTCCCACAGTCCGCCCACTCTGTTCACTGACCGTCTGATGCATATTGAACACCAAAATGGCAAGCGTTGACTATAATCAACAAGTTTCAGTCTGTTTGGCTGAACTTCCGAGAGTAAAGACACCTCTTTTTTTAATTAGTCTGTCAGTAAACAAATTATATTTACAAGGTAATGAGTTGATACAATGATTGCTTTGAAGGACAAAATAATGAGTCTGGCAGCTTAGAGACATCAATGACAAATATATAGATTAGTCCCTTTCAAGTTTAAACTAGATTAGTTACAGTGCAGTGCATTGGCGTAAATGTAATCATCAGCAAGATTTTTTAAAACAAGTGTTGTCCGTATGCTCAGCTCGCACATGTGATTTGAATTTTTTTGCGCTAATTAGTTTGTCCAACACTGGCCCAAGCTGTTGTTTCACAGTCAAGACGGAACAACATCTACAAGCTGCTGGAGACAGCAACAATAATAGCTGGTGACGTTGACAAGCTCTTGTGTCAGGGGGTTAAAAGGATACTTCACCCAAAAATTTAAATTCTTTCTTCATTTACTCACCCTCATGTCATTTCAAACCTGTGTGACTTTCTTTTGCAGAACATAAGAGAAGATATTTTGAAGAATGTTAGTAACAAAAATTTGTTTTGGCTACCATTGACTTCCAGTGAAAGCAATGAGACATTTATCAAATTATCTTCTGTTATGTTAGAAAGTCATATAGGTTTGAAACAACATGAGGGTGAGTGATTCCAGAATTGTAATTTTTCTGTGAACTGTCCCATACAAGTAACTCTAGTTTAAACGGGTACAAAGACATTTTTATCGGTCATAAGGAAAGAGAGAAATAGCACAAACACTAGACAAGGGTAAAACTTTTTAGTGTGCATGTGTCAAATCAAATGGAGCTTACTTTGAAAAACTGTTGCTGTATCCGAAATCAGATCCTGTACAGTAGGTACTGCAGTTGGGGTATTTGAACTTTAGACTTGGACTTGAACTCGAACTCTGACATGGACCCGGACTTTGACTGCAGTTATGATGTTTGTTTTAGGTACTTTTTGCCTACTGTTTTATGAACACTATGAATTTGGACATACTACTCAGCTCACATACTGGTTTTTATTTATTTATTTTAATATTTTTTGTCCACAAAACTGGCCCAGATTGTTGTTTCACAAAGAAACGGCAGAGATGGAACACAAACTACAAACTACTGGAGATCGTAACAACAATAGATGGCCATGTTGACGAGCACTTGTGTGAGGGGGGTTAAGAGATAAGTATACTTTTGTCAAAGTATACTTTGGGCTTCAGCCTAAGTAGGTGGGTTTGGGACAAAACAGGCTGCAAAGCAGACCAGATTTTTATGCCGAAAGTCAGGCTACGTGAGACTGCACTCACCCGTCAACAAACACGTCTACTTCCATGTTCCCTGTAGATGCAATAAGGAGTGCAAAGGGTACAATGTCCTTGGAACTGAATTAGGCCCTTGTCTCATTCGTTCCTGGGCTGCTGCTGCTAATTCAGGAAGAAGGGGAAACGCTAAAGCTTTGGTCCCAGCTGCAAGAGGAGGGGGTTGATTTCCCTATCTAAAATTTGCAGCTGTGGCTCTGCCTCACTTCCTCTAGGAGGCAGAAGCTCTGACTCGAGGCCCAGTGAGATGCAGACCTCATTCACCTTAAAATTCCTGGAGCTATGTAGGCACACGGTCATTTCTGTGTTCGGCCAATCCGGTTATGTGATAAATAAGGCTGAATTTGTGATATGTGTAAGAAACACCAGGTGATTGTGAGTCCAAGAGCTGCCCTGGGAATGATTGAATATTTCAGAGTGAATGCATTGTTGTTTTGGTCAAACAAAGCACTGTTCCTCGGTCTGCGCTGAACAGAATCTAAATGCTGTTGTCGTGTGTCAGCTCAGAGCACACATGTGAAGGACTGTGATCTGTTTGATCCCTGAGGAAGAATGACATGAGAGAGAGAGAGAGAGGGAGGAATGTTTGTTGCCTTTGTTGTTGTGCTCATGTATAGTATATAAAATCATTTTAAAGTAGATGTTGTGTGTGCACGAGTATATCTGGTGTGCAAACACATGTGCGCACACTTTGTGTGTGTGTGTGTGTGTGCACCCTCACAAGATATTTGGTTATATAAGAGGCCAGGGTTATACTCAGTAGACAGCACATCCTCCAGGGCGTAGAACCATGCTAAAGAAAGGATAGAAACGAGGGAAGAGATTAAAGAGAAGAGCAGAGGAGAGAGACCTGGACCCAGAGATAAAAAAAGACACAAAGCAGGGAAAAAAAGACATTAAGGGAACAGGATCACTGAAGTAAATGAAATGAAAGAATTTCTGTTCTTTTTTTTTTTTTGATTTGAGGTAATATTCCCTTATGCATGTTAAACTCGCTTTGAATTATGTTTTCTGCTCTCGCTTGTGTTTGCCCAATTGAGTCGCAGCTGTAGGAATGTGAGCAGAAGATGATGAACTCTTGATTTTATTAATGCTCAAGAAGTGTTAGCGCAAGGTTTCCTTGTCATCCCGCAGGTCCTGTTGGCAGAGGAGAGGGGCAGCGAGCGCTTGTTTGCGGTGAAGGTGTTGAAGAAAGATGTGCTCTTTCAGGATGAGGACACAGAGAGCGCCATGGTGGAGAGAAGAGTGCTGGGCCTCGTGGGGCGACCTCACTTCCTGACCTCCCTCTACTGCGCCTTTCAAACCGAGGTCTGTGTGTTCATCGATGTGTGTGAGAGCGTGTAAATGGTTAATGATTAAAAGAGAGTGGGAGCCTGGGGACGAGGTTTATATATGCATATGCACATTTGTAAATTATGAAATATATATGGGCTGAAATGTCATTCGTCCCTTAGTGATGGAACAAATCTGCTCTTCACCTTCAGGGCAAGTTTTAAATCGCATTTTTGACCTTGCACAGCTGGAACACGAGTACTGACATTTTATGGGGACACATGTCCACATGTGGTCTCCCAGGGCAGAAACTGGCTATTTTTAAATATGAACTTTGGTTTTGTTGTATTGGTTGATAGTATACTGACACCTAGTGGCAAGGATGCAGCATCACATTAAAGTTTTAAGGTACTGATGCCATTCTGCAGGTGATGGTGTCTGTTAACACGGGATTACCAAAGCAAAGCAAAGCATGTTGGATTTACCATAACTACGAGATTCTGAATTGTGAAAAGCATTTATATCTTTATAAAACTCGCAATTACAACTTCCGACTCGTTGATTGTTGCAATGTAATGCTGAACCAATCAAAATGATGGCAGCTTCAGCAGAAAAATGTTGTAACTGCTAAAAGTAGTTATCATGTATTATTTCTGTTTAATAATGCCTATAACTGACAATTATTAATGTCTTCAAAATCCAAGATTTATCTGAAAATGAACAAAAGACATACAATATAGTTTAATGTAGCTAGTGTTTTTGTCTGTTATTACTCAAATTACACATTTGATTTTGATGAAACACATAATTCAGAGACTAAGAACAGCCTAGAATGTCCAGATTGTCATCTAGTAATTACGGTTATTAAAAAATGCCATGAACGCACCTAAATATTCACCTGGGCATGTGATTTCAAAATGGCCACCCCTATGAGTTAAGTCAAGTCAAGTCTGCTTTATTGTCAATTCTTCCACATGTACAGCACATACACACAGGTAAAATAAAAAAGCTTTTATTAGGCTACTAATACACCTGGATTCTTCACCATATGTGTACATCATATATCTAAATAAATATTCTTTAAAATGGAAAAAAAACTGCAACTATTTTGAGGTTCCTACAGATTAATGACTGTATCAGCTATGGAGTAAAGCTGTTTAATCATAGTATAAATGAAAGCATCACCGTAAGTATTTTTCTCTTACCTCATTAAATGGTTGTTTACATTGGCTTAGATTGGGACCCATAGATTAAATTAATTTGCCCTGAACAAAGCAGTCTTGAGAGGGAGACAAATCACAAGAACAGATTGCTTTTACAATATTGACTAACAGGGTTTATAAAATGTCAACATGAACAATGGGTGAACAAAATAACAGAAGCTTCTGACAATGTAATAATTATATTCTTGGAATGCTGTCATGTGAGTCCCAAACTGGCAACCTGGAACAACCTGTGTAATAAAAGGTAATTCGTTGATCATTTTGTCTATTTCACTCTGACATGATAAATAATTTTTGTACCTAATGAATCTGAAGGGCCGTTTTTTTCAATGTAAGCTGCCTCATTTTGCTTTGAAAAATGACGTTTCATAGTGCTAATTTTCTGACCTCTTTCAGCAGACACGTATTGCGAAGTGGCAATTAGCCTAATGAAATACATTGGCAGCTGCAGAACTGAAAGAGAGAAAAAGAAAAAGTGTGTGTGTGTGTGTGTGTGTGTGTGTGTGTGTTTTTGTGTGTGTGTGTTTATGTCTGGCTTTAATGGTTTGTGAAGGTATGAATTACTCTTGTTGAATCACTTGATTTTTTTTCTCCCCTGTCGATTGAATTTGTAACAAACACTCAATGTGACTCAATGTGACTCAAAGTGTTTGGTAATGATTTCTTTGTGTAGCCTATGTAAACTGTGTCTCATTGTATCAAGTGCATGAAATAGAGTTTCCTGTCAAAGCTATCAGTTGCCCAGTGGAAAAATGCAGCATCCCACTGATCAGAAGTTTTACAGTCCTACAGACACCAGATGCTGTAGTCAGATGCGTCTGGAGATAAAGTGGGCTGTTATCTTGCCTTGGCTGTAGGTGACAAATACTGAAGCAACAGAGAAAACTTGCTGGTCTTCAGTGTCACACGATCCCTCAGAACTAAGCATTTTGATAGATACTTTAATTTTGACACTTTACCCATACTTTAATGTAATTATAATTTCTGTAAAAATGTGATATTTCTGCCATTGTGTCATCTCAAGGTCTTATTTCTATTCATGAACTTTTGTCATTTAATTTGACTGATTGCTAATCTGCTGTAACATTTGCTGTAATATTTACTTGCACAGCATGAGAACAAGCGAACTGATTGATGATTCATTTTTGATTCCTATTAGTATGACGAAGTTGCATATCTGCTGATTACTGATGATCGGTTTTGTGTTGTAGGATCGTCTGTATTACATCATGGAGTACGTGAACGGTGGTGATCTTATGTTTCATATCCAAATCGTTGGCAAGTTTAAAGAACCGCATGCAGCGTGAGTTCAGAACTTCTCTTCCTTGACGTTTTATCTTAAAGGATTAGTTCACTGAAAAAATGAAAATTTTCTGATAATGTACTCACCCTCAGGCCATGCAAGATGTAGATGAGTTTTTTTCTTCATCGAGAAATTTACTATTACATCACTTGCTCACCAGTGGATCCTTTACAGCGAATGGGTGCCGTCAGAATGAGAGTCCAAACAGCTGATAAAAACATCACAATAATCCACAACTATTTCTTTAATCCCACTTGCTTTTTCACTTTTTGTACTGTTGAAGTACTTCCTTTCTTCAGTTTCTAAATTCACCTGTTTAGGATCATTCTGTCTTGCAGTGGAAGAATGTGTTTTTAATGGAGTTAATGAGAGATTTTCTTGTTGGCAGGTTCTATGCTGCTGAGATAGCAGTGGGTCTGTTCTTCCTGCACAACAAAGGCATCATATACAGGTACAAGACATGATGACAGTCTCCTTCCACAAGCAGACCATATGTTACAGTCACTTAATATTCTCTCTCTCTGGTCTGCAGAGATCTAAAGCTGGACAATGTCCTGCTGGACAGTAAAGGACACATAAAGATAGCAGACTTTGGGATGTGTAGGGAAGGCATGATGGAAGGGGACACCACTCGGACCTTCTGTGGCACACCTGATTACATCGCACCTGAGGTTTCCTTTACTCTATCTCCATCCTTTCTCCTACCGTCTGATTCATCTTCTCTTCTCCATGACCTTGGCTCTGTGTTTACATGAACACTCAGTGGATGTGCGCAGTCAGCACATGTCTGCGTGTATGTGCATCTACATGTCTCTGTGTGATTTCATTTAGGTTCACTGCGGTGTTTACTACACGGCGACATGATGGACCATCCCGCTTAAGTGATGTATGTGCTAAATCGTCAATGTTTGTGTTTTGCTGTGTGATGGAAAGGCGATGTGAATGTGGGTCTAGCGAAGCCCAGTATGCATCAGTACTGTATCACATTGTCACATTGATCACATTATGTAAAAAAGAAAAAGCCATTGATCTTTGTGTCCCTGTCATTTTGAAAAGATGCAATATGTGTCCCTGCAGGCAAGGAAATTAATCTCTCTTTCTCACGCTGTGACACACACACTCACGGCTGACACAGAGACACTGGCATATTTATTGTCTAATTATCTTTAATATGATTTTCATGAGCTTATCTGCACATTGAGAGGGCTGTAATAGCATCCATCTAACTATGTAATGGGAATATTCCTAATTTATATGATTTTGAGAATATAACATTATGAAATTTGAAGTATTTAGCAAGGATGGGCAAAATTCTAAATTCATTTAAGAATTGGCCTTCTTTAAGTTTATGAGATGGAATGTGAGTTTAGTTGGTCACGTTCCACAGGACGTTGAATTGGAATTTAAATTGGAATGATGGGAAGTGGAATTTACTGAATTGCAATTCAAAGAAATTCAACAGTCATGAACAGAAGAACAAAAGGACAAGAACAAACCTACCACAACTTACCTAGAGCTCACTTAAAGTTTCCATCTTATCATCCTGCTTCATGTTGTTTGGCTCCATTTTGAAGAGTATTCTGTGAAGTATCTTTTTAAATGTGTAATATGAAAATGTGTAATTTATTAAATATAACTAGTATGCCACTATTTAATAGCTTGGGTTCACTAAGTTTTTTATTTATGCTCACCAAGGCTATTTTTAAATATTTATATTAAAATATTTAAAAATGTAATTTATTCCTAATAATTGGTTCCTGTGATGTCAAATCTGAATTTTCAGCAGCCATTACTCCAGTCTTCAGTGTCACATGATCCTTCAGAAACCATTCTAATATGCTGATTTGGTGCTCAAGAAACATTACTATAATCATTGAAGTTGTGTTGCTTAATAGTTTTTTGGAAACCTTCGAAGATTTTTTTTTTAGGATTCTATGATGCATTTATTTGAAAGGGAAATATTAACATTATGCATCCTGGCTGAATAAAAGTATTCATTTATTTTAAAAAACTCTTACTGACCCCACACTTTTGAACGGTAGTGTAGGTATTTCATTATATTTAATAAATTGCATTTTAATGATATACATATTTTATAAATGATGTATTTATAAATGCAAATGGAATAATAATATAAATAAAATTGTATCAAATTTTACATCATCCCATGTTTTTAGAAATACCATATATTCATACTAAATGTAGTTATATTAAATATCATTTCATTTTACTTCCTTAAATTCAAACTATAATTCTACATCCTGTTTGCTACCTCAATACAAATGAAAGAATTCAGTTGGAATTCAAAAGGCATTCTCAGTTAACATTTTGGGAAATCTATACTAAAAACCGTTATAACAGATCTGTGTTGTTTTCAGATTGTGGCGTATCAGCCGTATGGTAAAGCAGTGGACTGGTGGTCATATGGAGTCCTCCTCTATGAGATGCTGGCTGGGCAGGTAATTTTTCATCCTCTGCTTCCCTGAACCTTTAATTTTGTCCTTTTCTCACTAGATCTTCATCCCCGGCACCCTCTCCCTCTGTCTCTCTCTTTTCATCAGCCTCCTTTTGATGGCATAGATGAGGAGGAGCTGTTTCAGTCCATCATGGAACAGAGCGTTTCATATCCTAAGAGTCTCTCTCGGGAGGCTGTGGCCATCTGCAAAGGGGTAATCTACTTCCTGTTCTTTCATCTCTGCTGCTTACATACTTGGCTCACAGTGCATGCACAGGGCAATCTATTCCATCTTTAATACTAACATAACCTCCAAAAAAATGACTTAAATTAGCATACAAGTCTATTTCCATCCTTTCTGTTTTTCTTACTCTCTTTCTCCATCTGTTTCTCTCCCAGCTCCTCACCAAGAACCCTGCTAAGCGTTTGGGTGGAGGAGAGGATGCAGAGAGAGAGCTGCGGGAGCATCCTTTTTTCCGCTGGATAGACTGGGACCGGCTGGAGAGACTGGAGATACAGCCTCCCTTCAAACCCAGAAGTGTCAGTATCACCTATCACCACACCTGTCTCTGTGTGTGGGTCAGGCTTTACCCCAGAAATGCCCCACAATGATAGTAAAAATTATTAAACATGCTCAATAATGTCTCACAACAATATAAAAATACAAAAAAGCTGATGGTTCAGCTTAGGGGTAGAGAATATACAAAAATCATTCGCTTAATATAAACAATAGAAGTAAATGGAAACTCCCCACCATGATAGAAAAAAACGTGTATTAAATAATAAATAAATAAATGATTCGATCAGTCAGTCATTAATTGCCAAATAAATATATGGATGGAAGGATGTATAGATTAAAAAACTGTATATTATGTACATTTTACACTAAATTAACTTTTACATTTTTAATCTATTAATTGTAATTAGCTTTAAATAGAACCAACAGAAGTCGTGTTACGTCCTCATTTTCTTAGGGAGATAAATGTTGTACAGTGTGTGTGTGTGTGTGCATGTTTGTTTTTGTTATTTTAAACCCGTAACCATGTAACTGGAAGTTTACTGATGCACTCTGCCTGCTCCTCCTTATTATTTTCAATGTGCATCTGTGCATGTGTGCGTGCACATTTACTGGTGTTATTTTGTCTTGTACGCGGTAAGCCTGGCCTTCATTGCCTGTATCTCTTTGCCCATATTACTCATGCTAATCTATGTGGATATTATGCTGTGTCAATGTATGTGAGCATAGCAAATAAGTAGAGGTGCTCTGAGTTCACAGCGCTGAACTGACGTCAATAGCATCCACTTAATTTCCTGATATTTAATAGTAATAACCTTAACCCAGTTGATTCTTTTTGTCATTCCCACAGGGAGGCAGAAAAGGAGAGAACTTTGATCATTTTTTCACATCCGCCCCCTCTGCCCTCACGCCTTCTGACCCGGATGTTCTTGCCGCCATAAGTCAAGAGGAATTCCAAGGCTTCACATACAATAACCCCGAATTTCCCCCCTCACCCCTCACAGCTGTCTGAGAAAACCTTGATCAATCCACACCAACCATCTTTTGACTTTTTCTGCTTCTGTTCATGATTTCAACTACAGTGACCAAAAAAAAAGAATGTGTAATTTGGCTTTTGCTTGCTTACAATAGGAGTCTGTCTTAATTAGACCAGCCATCACATTCTAAAATGACACCACATTGATTTTAATAATCTTAATGGTAAAACAAACTAAGCATTAATAATATTTAGCCAGTCCACTTTGAGAGTATCAGCCTGAATTATTTAGGGGTCATGCATTCATGTCATTATCTCATTGGACAATAGGATCTTATTGGATATCCCTTTGGATGCTAGTAGTTGCCATGACCTAATTATAACTGAGTGCACCATAGAAACCAGCATGAACATGATTTCCCCCATGTTTTAAAGTTCACTTCAAGTTGATTATTTAATCTCAGATCAAACTAATGCGGTTCTGCTTGTCTTTGTGTAAGATCCTGTTTGCTCTGGTTTGGTTTAGGTAACTAAATAAGTGCAGACAGGTGAGCAAACACCGGTAATCCTTTCATCTAACAACTGGTATAGAAACTCAGTATTATGATTTAGGAGTCACACACATGATGGTTAGATGCAAAAAAAAGATTAATGCTGCAGCTTATAAACTATTTGTTTTTGACATGAATGTTAGTGCATACCGTATATCTCTGTAGATGCATCGGAATTCAATCCAAATATGATTCTATACAAACTATAAATGTTTGTGTCATCTTAATATTTTACAAAAATAAGTTTTTGGGATCCATCTTATTAATACAAATGACTTTATGAAAAACACAAATTTAGATATTTATGATTTATCCCATATATTTATATGCATATCTATATAAAGTATGTGCAGTGTATTATAAAGTATATATGTTAATGTTTATTCAGAATTCATAATAGAAATTTTCTATGAACATGTTAAACTACATCATCAGCATTTTTACATCAGCATAAAATAAAAATGCGCATGTCATCATGTTTTGCAACCTCTAGGTTCAAGAAAAAGCCGTCCCAACTGTTATCAACCAAATATTTTGTTTATAGTGCATAGGATTGATTAAATTAAAGTATTTCTTATTATATTACCAATTTGGTCTCAAAATCTCACATTTTTGGGTGAATTCATTGACTGTTATTTCTAGTATGAATATGGTTATTTAATTTAAATTTATTTATAAAGCACAACTAAACACAAATATCGTTGACCAATGTACAGAATAATAACAAAATAAGTAACCATTAACAGAATTAAAACAAAGACAATGTCACAAATAAAACTTCAAAATGCAAGGCAAAGTAAATGCAAATCATGAATAATAAGCCAAATCAAATAAAAATGATTTGAACCTAGATTTAAAAATGGATAGTGTAGGGGCGGTTCTGATTTCTGTATGAAGACTATTCCAAAGTCTCGTAGCAGCTACGGCGAATGTTCGGTCACCCCTAGACTTGAGTCTGGTTCTAGGAACCACTAAGAGCCTTAAATTGGCAGACCTAAGTGCTCTTGCAGGTTGGTGGTCTATCAACAGATCAGAGAGGTATGAGGGTGCTAAACCATTCAAAGACTTAAAAACCATTAAGAGCACTTTAAAAGTAATCCTATAGCGCACAGGTAACCAATGTAATGACTGACTGATATGCTCACGCTTTCGAGCTCCCATCAGGACTCTGGCAGCCGCATTTTGAACCATCTGAAGGCGGTTTAAGGAAGATTGACTGATCTCCAAATAAAGATAGTTTCAATAATCAAGCCTTGTGGTGATAAAAGCATGGATTACTCATTCAAAATTAGTAAAAGAAAGAAAGGATTTCATTTTTACCAGTGTTCGCAACTGATAGAAGCTTGACTTCACAACTTGGTTCACTTGTCTATCAAGCTTTAAGGCACTGTCCAACACCACACCCAGATTTTTCACGTACGGCTTTACATAAGGTGCCAGAACACCAAGATTTAGATTTGGTATACAGTGTGTATCAGAAGGGGTAAAAATCCTAATCCATTCTTATGTTTCAAAGGAAGATATTTGTGTGTCATCTGCATAACAATAATAAATTATACCATACTACTCAAAGATAGATCCGAGGGGAAGCATATACAAGGAAAATAACATGGGAGCTAGAGTAGAGCCTTGAGGGACCCCACAGGTCAAAGAGACAGAAGAAGAGTGAAATTTGCCAATATTAACTGAGAAAGTCCTGTTCGTAAGATAAGACTGGAACCAATTTAGGGCTGAACATCTAATGCCCACTACCTGTTCTAAGTGGGACAGAAGAACTTTGTGGTCTACAGTGTCAAAAGCAGTGCTCAAGTCTAAAAGTACAAGTGCTACAGAATCTCCAGAGTCGGTAGCTAAAAGAATGTCATTAAACACTTTTAAAAGAGCCGTCTCAGTGGAGTGAAATTTTCTAAAGCCTGATTGGAACGCATCGAAAATTTTGTAATCGACCAAGAAACTTTAGAGTTGATTAAAAGCTACTTTCTCTATAATTTTTGCTAAAAATGGAAGATTAGAAATGGGTCTAAAATTTTATAAATCAGAGGAATCTAAATTAGGCCTCTTAAGTCTGGGTTGTACCGAGGCATGTTTTAAATAGTCAGGAACAACCCCTAACTCCTATTTAGACACTGTGAGGTCTCCGAGATCAGCATGCACTTGCCTTGCATATTGAAAATCATGATGCCTGACCTGGAATGACCTGAGTCATTGACACTGTGCCCAAATTGTCCATCTAATATAACTTGAAAGTTGCACTGACGACAAAATACTGCCAACAGAAATGTGGGAACATTTCACGCATTACGTGGGAAAGACAGTTTAGGAGTGGAAGGTTAAGTAAAAAAGAAATGTGTGAATTTGGAATGGAAATAATTGAAACTTACTTATTCATTAATAAAAAAATTGATTACTGTCTGATCATGGTCGACATTTCCCAGCCTTTAATTTCATCGCCATGTTGCTGATCTTGTGGTTACGTAAATTGTATATTTTGTAAATCAGGGTGTTTTCAGTTCTGCTCCTGGAGATCCACTGTACGTTTCTGCAGATTGGTTCCAGCTATACAGCATACCTTCCAAACTTTCAGTTGAACTCAACAGCTTAGCAGCGGTGCTTGTTTTGAGGTTGGAACTAAGCTCTGTAGTTAGATTTACAAAAACAACTGTATTGTGTATTGATGTAATTATGCTATATACTATGTCCCTATGTGTTTCTAATCACAATAAACGATTCAACCTCAGTATCAAAGATAATTTTATTAAATGTGCATAGATAGATAGATAGAATCATTGCATAATAATTTTGTATTGAGTCATTTTGTGTTTTCAAATTGTGAAAATAAAATAGATGAAGTAAACTTTTTTGTGTGTTCACTCCATCATTCACCTGTTTGGCCTCATCTCACTGGTCACGTCTCTGGAGTCTGTGTTCGTGCTGATGAGACGGCAGACCTTTATGCTCTTCTCTCAATCTCAAGACTTTCTCTCTCCACTCATCGCTCCATCAGTGCCGTCCCAGTGGGCTTGAGTGATATAACAGGATACCCTTAGATACCCTGCCTATTAAAAACTACCCTAACCTCCTTACTGTAACTGTCTTCATCTCCGTCATTCCTCTTTTTTTAATGCCCCACTCTGACTTTCTTTTTAGTTCTGTGACCTCATCTTCTTTGTTGAACTTAAGATTTCCAGCATCTGAAATTTAAAAAGGTTTGTTAAAGAAATCAAATGCTTTGAGAAATGCTTGCTTGTCGTGTGTTGTTGAGTATAATGTAGATCTTCATCTCTCTCTCCCTTCTTCACTTCTTGAGGTCAGAGTGTACTATGCTATTGATATCATGACTAAAAATACTTTATCATGAGGCTGAGGCCACTATGCAATGTAATGGGACTAATAGAGAAAAAACTGAGAAAGGATGAGATGAGGCTTGATTCCAAAAAAGTGTGGAAGAAAAAGATGCACAACCAACCGAGAGAACCGCAGCCTAATGAGGATTGTCAAGCAAAATCGATTCAAGAATTTGAGTGAACTTCACAAGGAATGGACTGAGGCTGGGGTCAAGGCATCAAGAGCCACCACACACAGACGTGTCAAGGAATTTGGCTACAGTTGTCGTATTCCTCTTGTTAAGCCACTCCTGAACCACAGACAATGTCAGAGGCGTCTTACCTGGGCTAAGGAGAAGAAGAACTGGACTGTTGCCCAGTCGTCCAAAGTCCTCTTTTCAGATGAGAGCAAGTTTTGTATTTCATTTGGAAACTTCTAATTTATTGAGATGCACCTGTATATAATTATTAAATATATATATATACATATATATATATATATATATATAGGCATCACAATATGTACAGTGTGAAAAATCGGTATTTGTTTTTAGGTTTTCTAAAAATGAAATTTAACACTGTAAAAAAATATTTTTCGAAATTGTAAATAAAACAAAGTTTATTGGAGTACAAAATACTGTTTCAGTCTTTCTAGCTCAAAATTTCACGTTTAATTAAATTCAGTGTTGTCGTTTCTTTGTAAATATTTGTGAAATTGATTAGCAATGTCCAAGTGAAAATGGTTTCAGAGTAAATCCTACTCCTTTTTTTTCAATGCAGTGTTATTAAATGAGTAGCTTTTTAGCTATTGGCTCAGATTATCTTTAAAGTGTGATTTTGATAACGCAAAAACGGAGAAAATGAGCATGAATATCCTTTACTGACTGTTATATATCCAGTATAGAATACAACTAACCCGATAAACAAACAATAAATAAATAAACTCTCTTATATCGGCAGGCAGATAACTGATATTTGTAAGCCAAAAATTGTTTGCAATATCAACCGTCTTTTTCTTATCAAAAGCACTGACACCACTCATTAGCTTCACACCATCTTTCCATCCATCCAAAATGCAAAAGTACATTTTCCATTGCGCATTACTACGCACAACGTCTGCGTTGCTTTTTGCTCTCTTTCGTTTTGCTGGGATAAAACGAGGGACGGTAAGCGTGAAGATGTGAGGGAGGAGAAGATAACGGGGTATCAGTGGGAAATACGCACGTAAGAGAGACAAAGAAAGAGG